ATATTTGAGGTAATTACAAAAACAATTCCACGATTCACATAGATCAAATCAGATTTAATGAACAATGAACCTAATTAACCAAAACGAACCTAAGACATACATATAGAAAATACAACTCAGAAGGCTTAATTTTAAACAACGCAATGTAGAAATCAACGTATATCGACCTCTTGACCTATACCTCATGTTGATCTTCGACAATATATACGTAGAATACGTAGAACGCCCGTGAGATGCGGACAATAACTTAAGTACCAGTCAAGTACCTGACCGACCACATTGTCGCCTTGCGTTTAATACAACGATTAACGCCGTCTAGAGGTGGTATGACGTAGATGATTATACTGACGAATACATGTGTATCAGACATTCATCAGCGCAGCGTTTTTTCCCAACGAGATGTGTATACTGCCTTGATGCAGTCTACATAATTCCCTTGCAGGATCGTACATCATACCAATTAATCTATACAACAATATATGGGTATATACGGTATATACGCCGATAACAATTTACGCCACATTCCATTAGGATAGCATACTTCATCAACACAGTATATATAGTCGTGAAAGAATCCATGCAAATAATATTAGTTGGTTATGCATACTACTGATGATTCGGAAAGCTAAATGCTTTTGATTGGCAATGAACTCGTAAATTTTCTCAGTTTCCGATTCATTCGTTTTGGGCGTAGGACAAAGACTCACGTTACGAAACCTTTATTATGAAGTTGTTCGTATACACAGAATCGAAAGATTTATAGCGTCCTAAAACGAGATTATATACACTTTTGGCCGTCCAGAGTGGTGATTTCTTCATAAGGTATGGACTGAAATAAATTTGCTTTTCAGTTGAAAGTACAACTGTATGGTTTTTACTATATTACATTATAAACCTCAGTCTACATCAATGCCATGGTATAAACTTAAACATGCAGGCAACCTGCTTAGGCTCAAGCATGGGGGTAGGTTCAGTAATAATTTAGCAAAATAGTCGCATTACTAACCTGGACCGAAAAGCAAATCGGTTTAATTCATGCCAGTATGGACGGATTACCACCTCAGATGATAACATATACTCGATCATAATAGTGTACATACAAATTTAAAAAAAATATTCAAAATGTTGATAATAGTTGATTATATATAACTGCCCAACAAGTTAATACACTTCGACATCTAATAAACTTCAAGAGAACCCTTTATCCGCATTTCTTAGGGCAGTCGCCGTCTTAATGGAGTAGGTATAATTCTCACAAAAATTGTGTACTTTACAATTAGCAGTACAATTACGATTACGATTACAATTACGCATAAACTCTAGCACGACAATACATGCACTGTGCTGATCAAGTACACTGTCACGCAAAAATGAAGTAGTGCAACGCACAGAACATTCATTGCAAGGAGAGTAACGATTTGACTACATACCTGCAGCATGGTGTCAGCCGGCGTATCTTGAAGAATATCTTCTGGATACCGATCTTCGCCTTCAACTATGTCTGAGAACTGGTCGACGTTGGTGATCGATATAGAGGTCGATCTGGCCAGCTTCTTTTCGTCTTCCAGTATTTTTTTGTATTCTTTTGGAAATACCTGATAAAATAAATCGTGCAAAACGCATAGCGGTTATAAAAGTAATATTAAGTCTGACGGCTTCATAAAGAGAAAGGGCGTTCATCAAACAAAGAGGCAATTTTCTGACGGCGAAATTCAGAATCAACAGAAAATATCAATCCATAATTTCATTACGGTAGTGTTCAAGGAGAGTACTCGCAAAGCAATGTTACATATGGGTCACCCAATACAATACAATGAAAACAATAGACATAGCCTACGAATACTGTTAAAGTTGAAAATGAAGGTAAAATACGCATATCGATTATACTGCGTCGTACTACAGTACAGACATACAGACGACGCAGGTGTTATTCTATCCGTGCCTATCATGTTTTTTAGTGAATTTTCTCCAGACCGATGATACATGTTCTCCATTTTGTTTGATAATGCTTGCCAACTTCGCTTACTCACTTTATTTTGTTGCAAACTTATGATTGACATAAATTCTGAGGAAGGATCAAGTGAGATATAATAAAAAACCGGGTAACCTGTACATAATGTTCCTGCTCACAGTACGCAATCTGAAGACAAATTTGATGGAGGACTACTAGCTAACATAGGGAATTCACATAATATTTTTAACGACTCCTAAGCGGCCAGATTTATGAGGATTAAACTCAAAGAGTAAAAAAAACACTCCTTATTTTTGGCCTACACAACCACGCTCGATTTGTGTTCGACACCAAATTCACAAGCTAAGGCAAAGCAGTACCTA